ATTCAGACACAAGATGGAGACAAACAGTCAAAAACACAAAGCTGACAGACACTAAAACAGCTGATGGAGTATACACTAACCTGCACATTATTCAGACACAAGATGGAGACAAACAGTCAAAAACACAAAGCTGACAGACACTAAAACAGCTGATGGAGTATACACTAACCTGTGCATTATTCAGACATAAGATGGAGACAGTCAAGAACACAAAGCTGATAGACACTAAAACAGCTGATGGAGTATACACTAACCTGCGCATTATTCAGACACAAGATGGAGACAAACAGTCAAAAACACAAAGCTGACAGACACTAAAACAGCTGATGCACATTGTACATTTCTGTATTATTGTCCCTGTCAAATAAACCTGAAATTAAATACAGTGGGGGGAAATAAGTATTGAACACGTCACCATTTTTCTCAGAAAACATATTTTTAAAGGTGCTGTTGACTTGAAATTTCCCCTGGATGTGGATAACAACCAAAAACATCCATATATGCAAAGAAAGCTATATTAATTACATTACAAAGGAAGTTCTGTGTAATAAAATGAAATGACGCAGGAAAAAAGTATCGAACACATGAAGAAAGAGAGGTGTAGTTCGGCAGGGAAAGCCCAGACAGCAGCTAAAACCTCTCAGTAGTTTTTCAGCAAGCCTCTGCCATTCCTCAGTGTAAATGAATAGCAGCTGCTTCAGTCCAACATCTACATTAGCAGGAGGATGAAGATGAAAACAGGGTGGACATTTCAGCAAAACAACGATCCAAAACACAGCCAAGGAGACTCTCAGATGTTTTCAGAGAAAGAAAATCCTGACTTGAATCCAATAGAGAATACAAAATAAAGCTAAGATTTGATAGATGAGACCCACAGAACCAACAAGATGTTGGCACTCTGTTGAAGTCTGTGAGAAACTCACACCTGAGCAATGCATGTGACTTCATTCTCCAGAACTCATTTTCAGATTATTTGTTTGTTTTGTTTGTATTTATTTATTTTTATTTTTTCACCAAAATCTGCTTTAATTCCATGTTAACAGCTCCTTTAGAAATATTATTCCCAGAAAAAAATATGACGTGTTCAAAACGTATTTTCCCCACTGTATATATATATAGTAATGATTGAAGTATAAACTCACCCACAGATCATGCTCGGCGTAGTCAAACAGGAGCCAGACTTTACGGTCACTGTGAGACAGAAACACTTTCTGCAGCGCGATGACGTTTGGATGCTTCAGCTCTCTCAGCAACTGCAGAAAGACAAACACTTTATTATTCTGCTCATCACCTGCTCACTTTTTAAAGCGGGCCTATTATGCAGAAATCACTTTTATAAGGGGTTTAAATACTTGAAAAATCTACTCTGCGCAGTGGCGCATGGTCAAACAGGGTTGTGCTTATTCTCTTAATGAGTTCTGGATGTGTGTTTTGTCTCATTTCCCATTCCCTTTAAGAGTCAGTTGCGTCGCGCCATGGTGCATTTGCTATTTACATGATGACAGACTTTGTAAGTGGAAAAACTGAACGCTTCACTAGCAAGAAAACAGGTAAACAGAGCATCTGCAGCGCGAGGATGAGAGAATGAGCCTTCTCATTCTTTACTTTCACTTTCTCTCTCTTCCATTGATAAGGAAACGTGTTGTACGCACAGACATCCATTGGCCTACATAATTAATTTTGTTTATTAAGCGCAAAGATTTGTTTCAAAACTATTTCTAAATTCAGTTCTAATTTCCAGCAAACTAATAAATGAACAATAATAACGAAGTCTGGTCAAAAAACGGAGTTATATCCAAATACACAAGCTGTGCCCCATATGGTCTAAAACCTGACAGGTGGACAAATCTAGGCTTGTTTTTAATAAAACAAATATAAATATGGATATAATAAATAATACTGCTGATAATAATAATTCCATTAAAGCAAATTGTCGTGTATAAACTAAAAAAGCCCCCCGCCAGATGAAGAAGGCAGTGGTTTTCATATCTATGTAGAAAATAATAATTGTTGTAATATTTAAATCCTTTAATTCTTTTTCATTTGTGAAGATATTTGCGCATTGCTGTGCATCCTGTGTGTATTAAGCGATGTGTAAGCGAGGAGCACAACTAACGCGCTCTGCGCTGTCCTTTAGACCTCCTCTTAGCTTTTTTTTTTTAGCTCTTTAGATCCTCAAAATAGCAACGCGCCAACAATGCACCTAGACCAGAACACCTATGGGCGCACATATTAGCGCAAATGCACTTGCTATTTACACACCGTGGTGCAATACGTCAAAACGACACTTGCGTCAAGCTGAAACTAGCAAACAACATTTGCATCACGCCTTGCGTCAGGTGTTGTTTCAAACCTTTGTGAAATTTTTTCTGTTGAAAACTGAAAGGATATTTTGAAGAAAGCTGAAGACATGTAAATATTGACTTTCAAATATTTAAGTTTTCCTACTATAGAAGCACTTGAGGGAGAGTAAATAGTGTGTAAAGGCTAACTCTGGGCTGAACTATCCCTTTAAATGCATTCTGCAGACACACATTTATGTGGCCAAGTGCAAATGGAAGCCAGAAGCAGAGTAATCTGACTAATCAATACGCATGAAGAGAGCGAGTGAGGCAATCGATTGGAAGGTCATGTGACCACAGCATCTGCAGTGTTTGAGCACACATCCAAACATACATGCATACTGGGATTTACAATTTACCCTGTGAATGCCTTGGATTGGATGGAAAATGATTTCATTACTGCACGTTTACACAAACGCTCACACACATGAACACCAACACACACTGTGTGGGTCAAAATTATTCAGTTGATACTAAATTGATACTAAAACCACTTGAATTATTAGCAGTGGTGCAAAGTAACTAATTACAATATTCTTAAATTACAAATTAAATACTCAAATTACAAATTAAATACTCAAATTACAAATTAAATACTCAAATTACTGTATTGTAATTTACTTAGTAGTTTTAAAAATGTGTACTTTTACTCTTCCTTGAGTACATTTTTAATGCTGTTATCAGTACTTTTACTCCTTTATAATGAAGCAGTCACTGCTTTATTATTTCCTGTCTATGGGGATTAGAAAAATCAGTTCTGTGATTCCCATCCAATCAAATCACACATAGAAGGTAAAAGTGCCCAAGAAGATGTTCAAAATCTTTACAGGCATTAACCCAGAGATTGTGTACATGCATGTCACTGATGAGAAGATGACGAATGTTTACTGTGTGATGACCGTAATGGTCTTAAACACCCAACAGTCACAAGACGTCAACATGACTTCAGATTGACATTGTACCCCAGCATTGTGGGGACGTTGCATTTTGTGTGGAAATGAAAATCGGGTTTACATTAGAAATCAACGTCAGGCCGACGTCAATGTCCGATGTCCAATCTAAAATCAACCAAATATAAACGTCAAATGATGTTACAGCTTGAAGCTGTGTGGACGTCACCACTATGACGTCTGTCAGACGTTGGATTTTGGTTGCCATATTTGACGAATAAATGTCAGTATTTGACGTCAATATGATGTTGGTTGAAAATATTGACTGGATGTTGGATTTTGGAAACCGGAGCACTGGGAGGAAACCCACGCCACTGCTTTTGTGCCCTGTGCTTTAGACTTTACGCAACCCAAGCTCATTCTGGAAACATAGCCCCACGGACGTTTCTGGAGACCGCGATTTGGCCGAGTTTAGTTTTTTCGAGCGAACGCTGAGGGCCGCTCCGCCCCTCCTCTTCGCGCTCGCTGGCCGACGGCTCACCTCCAAATGGAGGGCTTTCCCGATGCAATCAGTTTGTTCGCTTAGCTCACAGCGTTGCGTCGGTAGAGCGGAGGCCCCGGAGGAGGAGCCAGCAGCGGTGGACGACGACCGGGATCGAGTCCAGGGAACAGCAGGTTCCAGAAATCAGGTAAGACGAAAAACGGAATCCGAAAAATAAGGGCAAGAACGCGGCGGGATCCGAAAACGCAGTCGAAATCGAAGATGAGGGCTTTTGCTTTTTTTTTTTTTTTCTGGACGGCTTTTGCGAACCGTCGCTCAGGTTTAGGGAAGGAGGAGGAGGAGGAAGATGAGGGCGGCTGAGTCGGCCGATCCGGCGGCTTTTTGCGTGAGAACGGCGCGCGCTCGCGAGAGGCGCCCGAGACGCAAAAAAGCGCGCACAGCGGCCTCTCGCGGATCTGCGAAAACAAAAACCGCTCGAATACGTACCTCCCGGGACGTAAATCGCGGTCCGCAGAAACGTCCGCGGGGCTACGTTTCCACAATGAGCCCGGGTTGACTTTACGCCTAGACTGTTAAAATAGAGCCCAACCAGTAATCTAATCCAATGTGTATAAAATATAGCCATTCTTAATCCTGTAGTAGAATAAGCAGTCTTAGTTCATATGATTTATTATCATCGCTTGTTTTTTTTGAAACACGGTGTACACTTAGGAAAACTACAATTTTTACAGTCATCTTTTAAAGTTGGTTCAAAGCATGTTTCAGTGTAAAGCCTAGTTCACACTAGAGGATTTTAAGCCTGATTTGAGCCCGATTTGGAAGTTAACGAGCTCGCCAACAGATCGGGCTGTGATCGGGAAGAAATCTGCGGGTGCTCGGCGCTCGCCGCTCTTTATGTGTGAACTACTGAACAACGCATCAACGAGCCTCGCTGACGCGTCGCCGACACCTCGCAGACGGAAATCCAACATCTAGCATGCTAAATATTCCAGAGCAGTCGACCGACTCAACCCCACGTGTGGTCAGATGTAGTGACGAGCTGCAGCCAATGAGAGAGCAGATCAGCATGAGCTGAATGCCTGTGTGTTCAGGAGCTCAGCAGAAACATCTGTGATTGGTCAGAATGGGCATCGGTGCACTCGCTTCATTCTGCGTTAGCACAGACATGAGAGTAGACTATATTAACAGTGGAACTAGAATTCTGTAACTATTAGAATTACCATACTGCTCATTCTGACTGTTCTCATATAAAACGCCATACTGTCACAACATATTTACATTCAAAGTTATTATTGAGATATTAAAATTAAGCTTTGAATGTCTGGCATCATATTTAATGACACCATTACCCTAAAAATATCATCTTTTTTTGGTAATACAGCCTATAAATATGTAGTTAAGATACTAAAGCACTTAAAGGTCTTGGCTTTCATTTTCACTTTCAAACAGGAGCTATTTCACAGCACAGAATATGCTTTTTTGAAAGATATCTGAAGTAAATTGATGTTTTTGCCATCAGAAAGTTTTGTTTATGTTAGCAGGAAGTTGCCAGGCAAGAAAATGCACACACATTTAAAGTCACAGCGAAAAGTATCAGACATGCATGCAGTCATGTTGACCAATATGGTAATTTAAGGCAGAAATGCTCAGTTCTTTACTGTTTTGTAATAAAAAATTAACAATGTCAGAAAGAAATACACTGATAGTTAGAAAGCGGCAGGGTGTTATAAATATGTTAGTTTTATTTCAAAGAGTTATAAAATTACAAAAATTAAAAACTCTCTGTGTATCTATCCACTGGAACCTTGCAGATGAGTGATTAATCCGCTGATAAATCAGCTGATTTGACGATGTTTTTAAATGCTTTCTCCAAAGCTTGAAACGCTGTCAGTGATGTAATCCGCACACAAGCAGCCAATAGTGTTCAGCTTTTTCTGATGACTCCTCCCTCAAATTTTCATTGGCTGTGGTTTGGTAGCTTGAATGAGCTGATGGGGAATGAATTGTTGTCAGATCATATAGTGTGTGACCCCCCTCTTGTGGATTGTTCACGGAGTGTTGCGTAGTGTGAACACCACAGAGATTAAAAGACACAAAGTCAAGTCATGTAGTGTGAACGGCACAGCGATCTGCTGATGTTTAAAATCCTGTAGTGTGAACTAGGCTTAAGCAGATTTAGCATTTTATGCTGTAGTCTACCTTCTTAAATGGTGTTTCATTTTTTTTTTATTAGCAGCATTAACCTGATTAGTTTTTCCTCATGGTTAAGTTTCTTAAATGATTCACTTCTAACATATTAAAGTGAAGCTAACTTTCAAATCTGCCATTTGTACATGTTTTATATCTAAATGACTTCTCCTGATGGCTCTATTGCTAAATAAATTCAAAGATTTCCACACTTAAAAATGACAACGCTTATTAAAAGTTAAAAACAACAATGAACAACAGCTTGCAGCTAAATATTTAACTAGAATATGACCTCAAATTAATGAGCCAAAGCCCAGTCAACAGCTCTCAAC